GTGGATGACATCTTGGTATTCACCAGAAGCGAACATTTTGCGCGACTGTTAACCACTTTGGGTTCAATTCACCCCAACCTATCGGTATCTCACGAGATGGAACAAAATGGCAGCCTGCCATTTTTGGATATTCTCATCAAAAGACGGGATGGAGGTACACTGCAGCGCACTGTTTACCGTAAGGCGACTTGGAGTGGGCAGTACCTTCACTTTTCCAGTTTCGCTCCGGTTGCATACAAACGCGGTCTAGTGAAGACACTTTTCTACAGGGCTAGACGAATTTGTAGTCCGGAACTGCTGCAAGCTGAAGAAAAGTTTCTGTATAGGACCTTAGTATCGAATGGTTATCCCGAAAAGTTCATCCAAGTGCACAGCAAACCCCCCAAGAAGAAACTGCCAGTGCAAACGGCAGAGAAAAAGGCTGTTTATTTGGTTTTGCCGTTTAAAGGGGACTATGTGGCAAATGATATCGGACACAAGCTCAGGTCCGCCATAAATCGCACATACACGACTGCCCAGTTGTGCCTCATGCACACTACCCGTAAACTGGTTCTTCAGGACCGTCAGAGCTACCCTTCGGCTGGTTCGCCTCTCATGTGGTTTATCAATACACCTGCAGTTGCGGTAATGTTTACATAGGCAAGACTAACCGTCGGTTGGCTCAGAGGGTGGCTGAGCACTTGCCAAAGTGGGTTGAACAAATGATAGCGCAACAGAACGGAACGCCCCACAGAACTAATCGGAGTCCGTCATCATCTATCGCCAAACACCTCTTGATAACTGGTCACCATGTGAACCCCAATAATGCGTTCAAGGTATTATTACGTAACAGGAACCCGATAAGGTTGGCAATCAGTAAGGCGTTGCTAATTAGCGCTTATCAACCTGTGTTATGTGCACAAAATCTCTTGAGGCAATCAATCAGATTGCCTTGGTTTTGATAATGACAGTTTCATTGGTATGCCAATATTTTCCCATGTATATAAATGTGTCTGTGTTTCTGCTTGTATTGTGTTTGCGACTGATGAGAGCAATCGAAATGTTGACATATCGCAACCTATGTCTTCTTTCTGCTTTGACGAAATGGCTGAAGGGGAACAAATGGTTTACGTTTTAAATTGATACACACAGGTGACATCTACAGAGTTTAGCCTTCAGGTCGAGGTGTAGCATATTCGTGGAATTAGAGATGATGCGAAGCTATGTAGCGCCATAAGTATTTTTACATTCACTCTCAGCTGTTTGCTAATGCGCACGAAACTGTTCTTCATTGAATTGCAGTAATTAGTATACGGGTTTCTTTCCCATTGTGGGTTATTTAGTGACCCCACAGTAAGTTCGCTATTGATTTTTAATAAATGCCTCGGAATAGCGGTTACTAAGGAACACCTTTCTTATTACGGCCCGCTCTGCTTCACCTGTGTACCCGGGGCATGTATTAGCCACTCTTAAGACGTTCTGTTTTATCAAACTGATACAAAGCTATCAACTCGTGTATACTGTCTTTCCAATGTCGCGCTTCTGTGGATTCTGCGCTGAACCGAGCCATTTGGTCGACGTGATATCTGAGAATCCAGGAAAGAAAGAGCTTCATTTGTCTGCAGTTGCAGGCAAACTGAATGTTCGTAATAATTCAACCTAGTCCACGAGATGATCATATACGAATATCACGTCATCGACAGCGTTTATAGTGGCAGCTGCCCTATCGGTGCACTCAGTTGACACTTCCTGGTTTGGCCATAAACTGATCAGCTAACAAGGGGCCCAATGGTAACCACCTACCTAGCCCATCTTTGTGTCAGTACAACTGTCCGGAAAAACGGAACTGGGCGTACCGTGTGCACTGATGAAGCAGCGCTATCAGCTCTTCCAGCCGCAAGCCAATTTGTCCACCCGTGCGTTCGATATATTTGGCAAAATAATCGATATGCCTTCTAAACGACGACGTCCCATAGTCCGAACTTAGCCGCTTGATATTTGTATTTTGAGCTCTAATGCTGTCGACGAATTCGTACGTATCCCACAAATTATGGGTCACTAGCTCCTTCCTTATGGGTTTCAGTATTTCGACCAACCACTAAGCCAAAGTATGCTACGGCGTTACGCATATCTGGTATGGGTCTTAAAGGAGCCCATCTTTAAGCCTTGGGTATACCATACAATCTTGGAATGCTGGTGCCAGCGGGGAGAATTTTTCGGATAGCAGCGAGTCGATTAACCCTTTTTTCTTCATTTGTCGGAGAGACCCAGATTTACCTTTTTCTACTGTCGAAGTTTTATCATCCTCATCGGAGATTTTCGCGGTTTTGTCCATAATAAGAATACCCTCGCCATTGTTTGGCCCCAAGGGTATAATCTCTTTGCTTTCTCTCAATGCCTCTAGCTTGTCTATGTGTACCATCCTCAGCAACTTCCCAGCTGTCATCGTGTGGGTCAGATACTGGCAACAGGATTGTACCACATTCGCCCTAAACGTTCAAATAGTTAATTCGCTTATAGGTAACAATTCAGCCACCTGTGCGTAAAGACTTTCAAACTGCACTTCCAGATCAAGCCGTTTGTGTGCTGGCTCAGGGTCACGAGCAAGACCTGATTCTCAACTCAAAATGAGCAAACATTGGTGCAACGGAAACCAGTAGATGTGGTTCTAAAACAGTAAGTTTAAAGATATAGAAATGACTTAAGACTGTTGGTAGACGTAGTCTGAATGCTGCTCAACAGTGAGCTAGAATACTTCTAGTGCTCTGCACTCGCGGCTCATCGGTGAACCGGACAGCAGCGGTAACACGACGACGATGAATGGTACCGTGTGAAGCTGCAAAGAAAAGCAAATACTCCGTAGGCGGCTGGATGCTGCATTCCGAATAACCTAGTGAGACGTTGGAGTTAATTTGAAGATTTGGATATCGCTATCTGGTAGACCTATAGATGGGGACAAGCACGTTACAGTCGAGGTCATAGTAAGTGAATGTGAGGTGTGATAAGGAGGTGAAAAGATAACAAATGGCGTCTGAGCTCGTCTATTCGGTGCCGCTGCTCGTCTAACTAACTGAGATGGACAACGCAGTCTGATAACAGAAGAATCCAACAATAAGTAAATATTTCGATGCACATTACGCACACCTACATACCTGTTCACGGTAAAAGTGCACAGTGGGTGTTTGTAAACGCTGAGTATCAATTAACCTTAGTGCTGCGTATAAGCAAAAATCACGTTCGGGTTTTGTATTATGGATAGTTTTGCGCAAATGAACAGGGAATGTAGAACTTGTAAGTATCCCTAAACTAATTAGATTAAGTGTGGACACAAATTTGCGTTTTGTCAACTCGTATTTCTTCGTATATGGGAGGATTACCTCATTGTTAAGTCATCCTTGCACATAGGTCATGTGCGAGTGTAACTAAATATTGGCACATTAGAGGAGGAAAGATATTCGGGCGATATTTCGGCTACAAAGCTTTCGTGATCTGTCTTAACTGGTGGTCACTCATGCTGCACTGTGGATAGCAATTCAAAGGTGGTGACCGTATTTGTCCTTACTCAGAAAGGCCAAACAAAAGTGAAACTGATCAAGGTGTTCGATATTGGAGCCCCGACGCTCAACGTTGACGAGATGTGTTTCGGGTTAAAGTGTACCACTAGCTTTTAACCCACGTGTCGTACTCCGAGAACACGCCTGGCAGTTCGGCTAGAAGCTTTGATTGTCCCGAATAAGGCAGCTTCTTTCTATCAGAAGTAGTCGCACCCTACTATCTATGTCGTCTCATAGATTGTACGGTTTAGCAGATCAACCAGGCTATCTTCACACCAGTCGTAGTTAGTTTTATTTAGGCTAATTAAACTTGAGCAGGTGAATATCTTTGTGGTGCAAATAAGCGAATGAATGAAATCGCAGTCATACTTGATTCAACACCGCAACCAAAGAAGGTCGTGATAGTGTAAAAACGCTGAGGGTGTTAATTTCGGTCTTGGAATTTCTGGATATGCGGTTGGGAACATTTTATGCTAGTCACGATCTGAGGATCCCCCCATTGGGTCGTTCATTATGGTCCACGGTGCAACCCCAAGATTTTGCTCTAAACGATTGTGATGGTTGGGTACACCTTTAGCCTACCAAGCGACGGTTTGGAAACCGCTTACGCTACCCTGTTAACTGGCGCCCGAACAACGACAGCAACAACAATAACAAAAGTACACCAGCCATTTGAACTGATGCTTTGCTGCCATAAAACCATGATGACCTGGGAAATAACGAATAATAAGAGAAAGAGAACGGGGACTTACCGGAAAACCTTAATGTCCTAAGCAAACATTCAGGGTCAAGGCGCCTACACCTAGTGTAGACAACATACCGTCACAAACAGCTGGCTATCGTGCAAAGATAAGGCGGCTTTGACAAGACAGCTTCCTTGCGCCTTTCACTGCCCCGCGTCATAATCAGCCATTAACCTGCAGACAACTCAGCACCAAACACACTGTAAACAGGCAGTCCGACGAGAAGACGGCAGCAGACGAGCCACTGGTGTCGGTTGCGAGCCATGTCCTGTAAAGTCTCGAGCCAGGCACAAGGCTAGTCACGTGGACTCCAGCCCGGAAGGCGAGACGGACCAACGGCATGCAGTTTGATTGTCAGTGACTTCATTTGTTGGTTTCTGAAAATGCGCCCATCTGGGTACCTAAAGCTTACGTTGACTTGACCTAACCACTTCCCTACAATACTGCTTGCAGCCGACTATTCTGAGGCAACAGACAAGCCCCCACAGAACAACCGATTTGTCTTACAGAATCTCACTCCAAATACGTCCACCGACAGTCGTATGGATCCTCTCTCAACCTGACTAGTCCATAGACCCATGACGAGTAAGCGGTAGATGTAACGATGTTTGGTGCCTACGGAACTGCATGTAAACTAGTTTATCGTCTCAGCCGTTCACAAATTTGATTACTTGTTGCTTGTAATCCCTTTTACCTCCTTCTCTCTCTCTCTCTGTGCATTTAGGCGAGGGAGACGAACAGCATGCCCTACTGGCCACTCTGGATATCCCCATCAGGCTGAGTAAAGAACGGGTATCGCGACATCCGCCACAGCCTTTGGTCAACGAAGCACAACTAGAAAGTCTCTCGATAGAGCCCACTGAATGCACCAATTTATTTGGACCCATCCCTGAAGGTAAACCAGTGAAGTTGGTGGCCCAATTTCCAACACTGGGGTTAGACTATAGCATATCCGATTTCGAGTGGATGCTAGATGACCAACCAATCAAAGCACAGGATGGAATGGTGACGTGTGATTACGGACGGCACCAGGGAGTGGTCACTTTGAACATGCCAGCAGTGAGACTGAATCAAAGCGGCATTTATAGCCTTCAACTTTCGGACGAAGCCTTGGAACGCATTCAAGACGCCGCCGAAGTCAGCGGAGTGTACATAAGTGAATTATTATCAAACCGACTAGTGTTTCCTCGCTTGTGTGTGGTTCCAGTATCTGGAGAACAAGAAGAGGAGGGTGGAAAGAAGCAATTGGACTTGGGACCTACTGAATCTTCAGCCTTCAGCCAAGTTCTGCCTTCGCATCTTGGTGCCAAAGAAGGGGAGCAACTAAAAATAGAGGCTCACCTACGTGATGACATACGGATCGGTCAGTTCGAATGGCTGGTAAACGGAAAAACAATTCTGGTGAGTGTGCCTTGTGTGTCTTGTTCAGTTGTGAATACCTATTTCTGTGGTGAACCGTTTGCTGAAGCCGATTGGTGTGTAGAGTGTGAATGTTTGATAATCCTGACACTGTTGCATCCGCTTACCATCCGAAGTGATTTCAGCACTCGGTCTGTTTTTTGAATTTGGCTATTGCATGGAGGTACCCGATCCTTTTATGCAATCTGAGCTGGAAGCGATCCAACATAGTTCAACCCTTTCTCTTTTACAAGCGAATATGACCTAGCGCCAGTTAAAATGTAGTATACTGTACTTATTACCACCCACCTCGTTAGTTTACTGGTGTTTGCCAGATGAGAGGACTATTGGGTTTTGCGTTAACAGGGTGTACTATGGCTTTCCTATTCGGATGAACCAAGTGACCGCATCGCACAGTTTTCCAACGCACAGGCTAGCTGAACGGAATTCGGATTGATTGCGAACCATCGAATTGGTGGTGAAAAACAGCGCCGTTCATCAGAGTACCCCTACAAGTGAGACGAACACGAATCTCCACAACAGAAACCACGAAACGGAGAAGAGATTGCTGTCCAGCAGGAATACCTTTACTGATCCAGCGGAAAGTGAACGCCAGGCATGGATCGTAGATGGGCTCAGCGTCAGCGCGAACACGTCTCATGACACAGCAACCAGGTGTACTGGGTCGGTGTGCGGAAACACCTGGCGCAATTAGTGCGATCATGTGGCCTGTGCATTATCAGCCGTGCCAAGTCAGATGCGAACCTGTATGAGAGTGTGTGACTCACGGCATGGCAACAGCGTACACATGTGTACTGGTCATGTGGGTCATGTGAGCTACCCAGAATGGAGCACAGCTGCTACTCTTTATCAGACCGTTCAAATCGTGGCGTATAGACTGAAAGGGGGAGGAAAATGCATACTCCCGAGTTGTCACACAGCTACGGGGAGCACTGCGTTTTAGTTCAGGAAGAACGTGAGCTGAGGTGAATCCGGAATGGGTCAATCGGTCTGCAAGTGTATATCATCAAAGAAAGCGACATCCACGGGCACCTGGCATTTTGTAAGTTTATGTGGAACATGTGGGAAACAGGATTATGCGAAGAAAAACAGCTAGTGAAATCTGGAGTATGATTGTGGAACACCGCTACATGTTTACTCCACAGTAACCACAGAAATGACCAGATGGCATTCAACAAGGGCATCGAAAAGCCGTTGAGTGAGACATTTCTGAGAGCCGTTATGTTTAAGGTAGGTGATTAGATGATGTCTGGAGGTAAGGAAGAGTCCCTCATAGTGCTAGCAACATAAGAATGGCTCAAAATTTGGATGAAGATCAAGCAAAGCAGATCTGATGGATGTCTTCGTAAAGCCCAGCACACGTAGACGGTTAAAACTATTAAGGATAACAAGTAGCAACGCACAATGTGTTAACACCACCAAGGCTAGCAATCCCCTTTCCAGCCTACTGAAGCTCCAAAATAATTCGGTAAAAACAGAGATTGCTGGTGCGAACGCACTTTGGACAGAGTCACAAATAAAATGTCTCAGTGACATTGAGTGAGCCGACTTTCAAAACTGTATTCAGGATGGGTTCACCTGGTTAACAGCGAACCGCTGTCAAAACTAATCCCCATGCTAATAGACACATCAATTTGGCGAACCTGCCATCTGCTTGCATTCCACATGAGGAATTGATGCCTGTAACGGGAAGGTCAAGTATTCTCGCCAACTAACGCCCGCGCGCCGCCCGCACAACAGCCAGCTAAGGCCCAGCGTAAATCCCGCTCTAGCCAAGCTCAAACACTACATGCTGATCTAAGAATGGTTGAGGAACGATTACCTTTGAATTTTACATACCCGTAGGCATTATTCCTCACAATCTGTTTATGTGTGACATTGGAAGTCTAAAGCGCAGTTCTTGCTTTCAAATACCGGGTTTCCCAGGAGTTGTATATCGACACCAAGTGGATTCGCAAGGCCTTCATTGCAATCACTTTTCCTTTTACGTTGCATACTTATCCGAAGAAAAACAGACTGATGCATACGTCACTTAGGATAACTTATACAGAAATCCGTAGGAATTATGATAATCCGATAGGATTTTGTTGTCTGCTCACAGAGAAATGGAACAATACGGACGTCACAAACGCATCTTGTGTGGAATAAAGCTGGGAACGTGTAGACTGCTCCAACTGTACTAGGTGGACTCTATTTGGAGACGTGAGCTCGCATTTCTCAGTTGACAGTCCGATTTATCGAGTAGCTGATATCGCCCAAGTAGAAAATGCATTAAAGTTAATTCTTACCTGAAGCCTTGAGGTGTTTCGGCAGGCGCTCACAAATCAGGTTAGCAGTGTGAGACACTCATAGTTCACCAAAATAGATAATATATAGGTTAGGATATTATATTGTCCAGATCAATTTGTAAAGTTAAGTCTAATAGCAAATGGTCTGATCTCTACGGTAAGTGAAAAGTGCCGGATGAGCTGGTTTTCAGAGCGAACTCGGTTCTTGCTTCTATCACAAGTGCGGAACAATGATAGACTGGAGTCTTCAGATAATGCGGGTAGTGACGTTAATCGCCTTCCCCCTTTGTCGATGAAGAACGAACCGGGATTCTCGAAGCAACCATCGTGTTGGCACGACTTTGGGCCGCGAGATTACAGTTTATAAGTGCAAGCGGTCGGGCTGCTACGTGCCTGTCTGATGAAGCAGCCGCAGCTCGTACATCTCGTACGCTCACTGACTGTGTAAGTACGACACCTATCGATCAGGCACATGTCCGCCTCTCACTCTCCATCCGACACCCAACGCAAGGCCGGGCGACCTCGTCGGTCTGGCAGCGTTCGCACACTACTCTCTCACACGGCATTCAAGAGCGTTGTGGCTGGTATAGGTACCGGGCAAGTTGGCTGAGCGGGGAGTGACGCCGTGAATGCTACAGCTCATTGCACTCCAGGTTAGCTTTCGATTCAGTGTCTGAACATCCACATCTCATTGGAAGTTCGAGCACCGTGTGTCCTTCGAGACCGAACGATTTACCCAGCGAAGACATACGTTGGAACCTCCTCAAGAGACCGGACCAAAATGGTCAACATGCAGAGGTGGTCAACATACAGTGGGCTGGATCCATAAGGTGACGTTCAAGCAACGAAGAATAAAACGGTCAACTTTGACAGGTGGTCATGATTTATATGTGGTCAACCTCCAAGAGTTACTGTATATAATGACGATGCTTTTACGTCGGTAAGTTTCCCATTTTTACTCAGCTAAGCAAACGATGCGGAACTCACCTTGGCGCTCCCAAATGTTATCCAGCTAACTGTCTTATATACTAGTTATCATGGGCGCAACGTCCTGAGATCGAATCCGTCAAGTCCTACTCCACTTGGTTGCTTGGTTCATTCATTGGTTCCATCGGTTCGCTCTGAGTGGACACACACCACACCGGACATTCGCAAGTAGGAGTGGTGCTTTTTTCGTACGCTCTCACGATCCCCTGTCTTCCTTGTCCGGGTTGCAGGACATGGCTTGTCCGTCCAATATGCTGAATCGTCTTAAATGTTCGAGGGGTCCATGTTTCACATTTGCACAAAACGGATGAGAACTAGCGTAGATCATGGTGGGTGACTTCATAGGCATATAACACGCTTGCACAAGGCGGTCGCAGCTGTTTCTATGACTCACACAATTAACTCGTGGTATGAACGTTGCTGGAAACAGTATGCTAGGTGGTCGCTAAGTGAACAAAAGAATCATCGAAGTTACCAATTTGATAGCTCAGTTCGGCCACATTCGGTAAGATTTACCTGTTCCGTTCGTTGCCACAGAAAGCTGCTTGTATTCAGGGGACGAGAATTGCTATTGGTTCGCATGGTCATTTGTGGCCCCACACAAACCAAATGTGACTCACACAGCCTGGAAGCAATTGTGACGAATCAGTACAGTGAGAACACGGTCACGTAGGGCTGGTCATCCACCGCTCACATTAATCCTGTTGGTAGGACAAAATGTGCACAGCGCGATTGCTCTGAATCGTCGTGGCAAATGGATTCAGCCCAAGCTGTGCACTAAAAAGGCAATAAGCCACGTATGTGACCATTAGGCATGTAGCGCGTCGACACTTGCTCTATGTGCTCATACCCACAGCGAGCGTAGTGCTGTCGTAGTAGTAAACTTTACTAGTGTCCGCTCCACCAGTCGCTGCGCGTGACCAACCGATGGCAGTAGATGTCAAACAACTGAAAATGATGGCGCGCGGTTCACATAATAACCTTCAGTCAGCTACATTTGGGATCGCATGAGGCTGTTACGCACCAGAGAAATGGTTCTTGCTGTATTTACTAGACAACTATCGATGACTCTTCATCGTTGTCAGGCCAAAGCTGGACACTTCTGGCTTTTGGTTAGCTGGAGTGCGATCTCTGGTGACAAGGGTATTCCGCACAATATGCGTCCACCTATATGACTACCGTCTCAGCCATATCCGACAAACAGACCTAATATGTCTTGCAAGACATCAATTCTGCCCAGGATTTTGCCCACCGTCACACGTTAGCGCCACGTTGAGTGCAAGTAATCGTCCGACATCCGCATGGACTGACAAGAACCGAGGAACGACTCAGCTGATTTCCTCGAGTCCACAGTTGAAGAGGATGAGATCACACCCGCTCACCAGAACTTAGCCTGCGCTTGATCTATGCACTAGACCTTCCTGATAAGTATGGTGAAGCATGGTAAACTACTCTGGCATTCACTGCGATCTCAGAGATTAACATAATAGCATCCTTGTTATTAATATGGCAGCTTTCTAGTCGAATTTTATCCGTGGCTCCATCCGACTAGCTTGCTGGATAGGCAGTAGCAAATACTCAGCACAACCCATGTGTGTTACGAGCTATTACTGGATCCGGTGTCCCGAATCATAGTCACCTTAAGAGAATGAGACGCACGGGTGGGAATCGTATATCTTTTAACTACCATCCGTGAAGAACACCTTA